CTCCCGCACCCTGCAACCATGCAACACGCCCCCCCCGCCCGTCCCCCAGGGTGAGGCCGGCATCATTGTGCCCCAGGACGGCTACCTGGCGAAGGCCCACGCGCTGCTCAAGGCCCACAACGCGCTGCTCATCGCGGACGAGGTGCAGACCGGCCTCGGCCGCACGGGCAAGATGCTCTGCCAGGAGTGGGACGGCGCGCGGGTGAGGGGCCGGGGGGTTCGGGAGGGCGGTGGGTTTGGGGCGGCCGCGTCCGGTGGGTCTAGGCGAGCGGGGCTTGCGTGCGCCGCCCTGTGGCGCGCGTGGCAGGATGTTGACCTGACTGAGCCATGGAGAGTTCCCTCATACCCCAATTGGTGCAGCGCAGAAACTTCTGCACAAGCATGCACCTTTACGTGCACACACGGGCACACACACACAAACACACACACACACACACACACACACACACACATGCACGCGAAGGCACACGGCCGCTTTTGTCAAATTCGCATACCCCCCTCACCCCTCACCCCCCCCCTCAGGCCGACATCACCGTCCTGGGCAAGGCCTTGTCTGGCGGCATGTACCCCGTCAGCGCCGTGCTGGCCGACGACGAAGTCATGCTCACCATCGGCCGCGGCCAGCACGGCAGCACATACGGCGGCAACCCCATCGCCGCCGCCGTTGGCAAGGCGGCGCTCGAGGTGCGCCCCACACCGGGTTTCGGGGGCAGCGCGGGGGCCCGCGCGCCGCGGATGCTGCCGCCATTTAACGGGCCCCCGGGAAGAGCCCTGCTGAGCCATGGGGCATTCATTGCACCCGTACCCATCATCCTCTCCACGCTAAGTGCATTGCAATCGCATTCCTTCCCACAGGTCCTGGTGGACGAGAAGCTCTCAGACAACGCTGAGGCCCTCGGCCGCATCTTCCGCGCCCGCCTCAGCGCGATCCCCTCGCCCCGCATCAAGGCCGTCCGCGGCCGCGGCCTGCTCAACGCGCTCGTGATTGAGGAGCGCGGCGGCGTCAGCGCGTGGGACGTGTGCATCAAGCTGCGCGACGCGGGGCTGCTGTCGAAGCCGACGCACGGCGACACGATCCGGCTGGCGCCGCCGCTGGTGCTGACTGAGGGGCAGCTGCTGGAGGCCGCCGACATCATCGAGAAGACGGTGCTTGCCTTGGACGCGTGAAGGGGCAGACTTGGATGCGCAAATTGGCGGCCTTGCACGAGGCAACACACGGTCTCGGACGCGTGAAGGGGCGGCCGTGGACGCGTGAAAGGGCGGGCTTGGGCAGGCGCGCGGGCAGGCGTTTGGAGCGCGGGCCAGTTTCCGTCGGGGCGGTGGCGTGTGATGAGTGGACATGATTTGAAAGGGGGGAGAGAATCCGCCGATTGGACGCAAGGGCGGGGGGAGCCTGCCGATCGGCAGTTGTTCCGGGTCTTGTGCTCGGGTTCACTGCCCACACGCTTGGGGCTGCATGGGCACGAGGGGTCACTCGCACACGCCTCTGATTTTTCTTTCCTCAACGCCGATGCGGCGCTGATGCATAACCCGGCCAGCGGCGGCGCCCTGCATCGCGCGTATGCCGCGCGTCTGTGGAGCGCCGCCAATATTGATGCGTGTCCTTCCTCTTTCCACCCTTTTCGGGGACCGTCATGCAAGGGCTGCTGCCGCTGGCATGGGGGCTGCGACGCCCCGGCTTGCTGATTTGGCAAGCAGCATCTCAACGGGGGGCCCTCCAGAACGTTTTGCATGCGCCTTTTGGCAACTCAACAAACCACCCCGCGCTTTGCGGCGCGGGGCCCGCCCCGTCGCCGGTGGCGCAGGTTGAGAGGGGCGTCGCACATTGAGCAGTAACGAACTTGTCACCCAGAACCTGTCCGCGTCGAAGCCAGTTCTGGCTTTGTCGTGTAATATCGTTTTACAAACAAGAGGACAGAGGGCATTGCGTCAAGAGAGGGCTGGCACCTTGGCATACGCAGCAGCAAAGCTCAGGGAACGCAGCCGAGCTGCCAGAGACAGCAAAGGCTCAACGCAAGCAGCGGCCAGCGCGCGCTGCGCTGCGGCGACAGCACGCACCCCCTCACAAGCACGATCTCCCACCAAAGGGGACGGCCCCCGCCGCCCCCGTCCTGCTGCCCCTCATTGCGTTGCGGGGCGGCAGGAAGAGGGCAGGACCAGGGGGGCGCTAGCTTGCGAGCGGGTTGGCGTGCAGGGTGACCCTGTTGATGCGCAGCTCCTGCTTTGGCCTGTCGTTTGAGGGGTCCACCGGGACCTTCTCCATCTTGTCCAGCGTGTCGAGGCCGTCGATGACCTGGCCAAACACGGTGTACCTGGGCGGGGTTGACCGGGGGTTGACCGGGGGTTAGGGTGGGGTGAGGGCATCGAGCCGGCACGAGTGTGCATGTGTGGATGCGTGCGTGCGTGTGTGGTTCGGTGTGTATGGGAGTGGAACTTGTGTGTTGATGAAGGACGTGCTCGCATGCATTTTGATGCTGAGCTGCTCGCGTTTTCACAATGACGAGCGACCCGAGGTCTTTGCGGCAGATGGATGAGGAGGGAAGGACTGCATGTTTGCATTGAGAGGGCGACGCGCCGGCGCGACCCCAATCAGCGGGCCCTCACGCGCCCAGCCGATGGTGAGGACGGCCGCTCACTTTCCGTTGAGGTGCGCGTGGGCCTTGTACGTGATGAAGAACTGGCTGCCTGGAAGGTTCATATGCATGGGTTGGGTCGACGGAAGAGGGGGGGTGGGGCGAGGCAGGAGCGTGGAGAGGCGCACGCGGATGATACAGCTAGGTAGCAAGGCCGCGCTCCCGGGGTGCCAGCCTCCTCACGGTCGGCCCCCGCCATCCCCCCATACCAAATGCACACCAGGCTGCAGTTCTGGCAAGGCGCCCCAAAGCGAGCCACTCCCCCTCACCCACCCAGCCCGGCCTCCCCACCCGCGGCTACTCGTCATCATCACTCGACCTGCCAAACCCAGTCAGCGCACCGTTGGTGTTGGGCCCGCTGTTTGCCATGCTGACGATGCCCCTTTTGCTGTGCTTCAAGCTGTCTACGATCTCATCCGCAAACTTCCCGTTGGGGGTTGCGTATATGGACTTGCCGCCCTTGCCGGTGCCGGTGGGGTCGCCTCCCTGCAGCACTGGGGGTGGAGAATGCCAGACGTGGTGCGCGGCGATAGAGGCGTGCAAGATGAGGCGAGTGGCGGAGTCGTTCGGCCATGGCCGTAATTGAGAGTGTGGGTGTCAGAAGGGACCACAGAGGCAGGCGAGTGAGCTAAGGTACGAGGGTGCGAGCTGCGCGTGTTCCGGCCGCAGGGGACACAAGGTGCCAGCAAGACACGGGCTCCCGCCCGCCGGGGCCGTTCAAGGCCGCTCACTGAAGCCCTTGATGTTGCGGTGAAAGATCACCCCATCGTAGTAACCGCTGGCGCAGTGGGCCAGGAAGTTCTCGCATGCGCGGGGCGTCTGCGGCAGAGGGCGGCAGGGGCCGTCGCCGCGGCCGCAGGCGAGGCGGAAGGGAGGGGGGCGGGGGGGCAGGTTGCACAGAGTCGTAGCACTGCTGCGTTGGCATCGCTGTAGCCACTTCGATTACGAATGTTTTTTGTCAAAAACATTTGGTGCCGTCTAACGCTGCATGTGGGCCATTACTCGTGCTCAGGGCGACGGCTGGCGCGGCGGCACAGCTGGCGCGGCTGGTGGCGACGTCACGTCCTCTGCTTGAGCCGACACCCCGCAGAGGCGGTTGCCGTCAGGGGTGGCGGCCGGTGACCTGCCCACCTGCTCGCAGAAGAGCTCGATTTTGAGGTCCCCCAGGTTTGTGTGCAGCGTTACGCTCTGCAAGAGTGCAGAAGGGGCGCCGGCAGCAAGCGCAAAAGCTCAGCTGCCGCTTGCTGGCGACCACCACGCGCTGATTTGCTGCCTCGCACCGTCACAACAGGGTCGTGCAGTGTAGAAGGAATTCTGCTGGCTGCACGCGTCTCATCGCTGCAGTTTACATCAGAAGCAGCTCCGGCCCCGCCGCTGCCCACCATGAAGCGCGAGCGCACAAGCGGCGGAAGCGCTGGCGCTGTGTGCCGTAGAGCTTGAGATGCACTGATATATTGCACAAGTAACGGTTGCTGACCGCTGCACGGGCACTGTCAGCTAGGAATTCGATCGATGCAACTTTGATGATCTGCACGGATGCCCGTAAGCAAGAGGTTTCCTTGTCCTTTCGCTACGAGATTCCTGTAATCTCATGTTGAAAGTGCACAGTTATTTTGTGGCTAGCCTGGTGTTGGACAAGTCGCATGCGAGGCCACCCTGAAGCCGCTTGCCGCAGGTGCACCTTCCATAGTACCACCCCTTCACGTCGTCATCGCCGGCCGCTGTTGCCGCACGCGACGCAGCTCTGTGGCCTCGGCACTGTCTGGTGTGCGATGCATCGCAGCATAATGCGTTCTCCCCGCCAGAGACGGCATCACGGCTAGTCGGCTACTGGTTCCGTCCCAATGAAAGGGGGCCGACTTTGCCTGAAGCTACAAGTCTATGGGTGGCAATGCTTGCGAGCAAACATCAAAGTGTAATCTGTGAGAACCTCAACGCCGCTGTGAAGAATGTGCTCGTCCCCACCAACAACGAAACCAGTTGTGGCTCGTCATTGTGGTGGGCGCGTGCCGCTAGCTTTGCCTCAGGGGGGCAGGCAGTTGCACAGCCTGCTGGTCTGAAACGACGCCATTTGGCACGTGTGGTAATCGCAGTAAGCACTTGATCACGCAGAGCGAGCTGTCAAGTTCATCATCATCAGAGCAACACGCAGTCAACGCGGTAGCACACTGGCATATGCATAATGACCTAGGTTTGTTTCCCCACTTAAACAAAACCCATGCTTGACATAGATGCTATTGGTAGCTCTGGGTATATACACATGGCGCAACAAAGGCACGCAAGTGTTGACTACTGTGGACCGACAGACATGGGATGCAGAAGGCATCATCTGCATATCATGCAGGTAATTGACTGAGCTGAAGTTGTGGGACGAGTTGACAACTTCATTTGTTGGCCCTGACCGGGTCCCGCTCTCTCGTGAATCCCGTCGGCATGACGACGGGATCAAAGAGTGGGATCTGCGTGTGCGAGTGCAGGAAGACGTCGGTGCTGGTACAGAAATATCAGATGTCATAAGGAGTCAAGATTTACACCGAAACGGACCGCAGATACCACCATTAATGGTCTACGAGCACACCCGGCACAAACGTCTGCAGTGCCTGTGAACGTAAACGAGGATGGGAAACTGTGTAACAGCGCCGCGCGCAACAAAAAATGGAGGGAGGAAGCATGCCGCAGCCAACGGCGAAAAACGCGCGATGGCCGACAGCGCCATGGCCGACGGCGCAGAGGCGAGTCACGTTCGAGGCAACACCAGTGCCGCTCATGTCGCACGGCGACTAGCACTTTGCACAGGATTTCCTGAGATGTGATTCAACATTCAAAGTGGCAGTGAGCGTGTTGATAGTGAGGAGCACGGTCGCAAGGCTGCGACATCACATGGCCCAAACCATCACGCGCACCTGCCAAGCGTGTGTGTACGTGTTTGCGTGTGTGTAATGCAACCCCATGCTCCTTGTGACCGCAGGACATCTCCCACCACCGCTCCAGCGTGAGGGACCAGGCGTAGCGGGCCCCCCCCCTTCACCCGCGCTGCCGGCCGCGGGTCGCTGTCCCCTGGCGCCAGCCCAACACACTGAGCGAGCGCCCCCGCACACCAGCCAACAAACTCGCCGGCCCCAGCCATGCAGGGGATACGCGCGGGCGGCGCACGGAGACGGGACCGTCCTTTCAAAGCATCCCCAAACTCCTCTCTCACTGCGAGCGTGGAACATACGCCTCCTCACGCCCCCCGATCACTTGCACAGCCGGCGGCCTCGCACCTGCCACCTGCGACCGCCGCCCCCTCCCCAGCCCTGGCGCCCCTCAGAACGGCTGCGCTCACCCGCGGCCCTCGCGCCGTCCCCCTGCCTCTGCAGGTCGCCATCCTGCCATTCCCCGCGCGCGGCGGCGACGCGCCCGGTCAACTCGAGTTGACCAACCCCCTCCTTGGCCAGTCCAAGGCCACGGACGTGACCGAGCGGTTCGCGCTGAAAGGCGTCCTGGGCCGTGGCGCGTTTGCGACGACGCGACTGTGTGTGGACAAGGGCAGCGGCAAGGAGTTTGCGTGCAAGAGCATCCATAAGAAGCGGCTGGAGGGGCTCACCAAAGACTGGACAGACGTCAGGAGGGAGATGCAGGTGGGCCGCACAGTGGATGGTGCCATCCCCCCTGCTGACGCTGACGCTCCCGCCTGTGCGTGCGCGCATCAATGCGCGCCCCGGGGTGGCCGGCGCCGCGCCAGCAGCCGCCCCATGGCGCCCCGGCTGGCGATCCCATTGCAGTGCAGGCCCTCTTTATGCTGGGGTGCCGCGGGGCAGCATCGGCGGGCATGTGGCGCGGGCATGCTGCTCGGCACCTTTCCAGGCCCACTGATGCTGCTCTTGCTGCTGCCCGCCCGTTGTGAGCTGCCGCTGCCAACCTTCCGGGTCGCCGCTGCTGCCACCGCGCCGCTGCTTCGACTGCCCTAAATGTCCCAACCGTCCCAACCGCCCCATCAGGTGATGTACCACCTGGCAGGCCACCCCAGCATGCCCCAGATCCAGTATGCGTGCGAGGACCAAAACTACGTCCACATAGTGAGCCATGTGTCGCACTGGCCGCTGTATGGTGACACAGAGACGGTCATTTGTCACGGAGGACTTGGGGTGCTGTTGGGGGTGAACATGCACAGAGGGGTCGGCACGATGGACCAGCGTTGCGCCATGAGGGGTGGGGGCCGGCAGCTGTCGGGCCGGCTCTTCTGACGAGGGGGTGGGTCTTGTGGCTGATGCGCGTGTGCAGGTGATGGAGCTGTGCAGTGGCGGCGAGCTGGTGGACCGCATCATAGACAAGGTGTGGGGAAGTTTGACCCGTTTGACCGCCGCTTTCACGTGTTAAACCGCTGCTGAGACCTATACCCATGGCTCCAGCTTTGACCCTGTTTGACTGCAGCTTTGATGGCATCGGTTGCATCTTTGACCTATTTGACCGCAGCGGGTGACCTGTTCCAACCCACATTGATAGCCGTTCAGGGTGTGAGAAAGGCGCTTTTGGCAATCATCAGCATGGGGCCCCTGGCACCGATGACATCAGCCAACCCATCCCCGACGGCGCCACCGTGCCGGGCCCCCGCCTGTCCCCCTCCCCCTTCCCCTCTGCCGGCGTCCCCTTCAGGGCAAGTACACCGAGCGTGACGCCGCGGCCATCATGCGCACGGTGCTCGACCTCGTGGCATATGCCCACGAGCTGGGCTGCGTCCACCGCGATATCAAGGTGATTGGGGGAGGTGCAGGCGGCCGGAGGGAGGGGGAGGCAGTGCCATGGCAAGGAGGAGCAGGGTTGAGCCCAATGGCCCAGGCCAGACAGAGGGGTTGCAGCGCAGGGCTGTCTTGAATTTGCCACATTCTGGAGCGCGGGTGGCGGTCAAACTTGGGTTTGACTGAAGCGCAGTAACCAGGGGGCATGAATGGGCGTAAGCGCGGCGCGTGCTTGGATGCGTGTCTGCATCTGTCTGCATGTGTGCAGCATATATGCGTGCATTATACGAG